CAAGCTGCACTGATCGTCTTCACTGAGGGCACTCAGCTTTTCTGGGAAAAGTGAGCTCTCTACACACAAATGCTTCAAATAGCAGTGGGGTGGAATCAGCCTTTCAACTTTTACTGGTGTGTATGAAACACATTCTGAGAATTATTAAAACTCCCAAGATTACTCAATTCTACGCAGTTCTTAACGGCCCCAGTAGGGCTGTTTTAGGAGAGGGCTCTCCCAGTATTGAGTTCTATTTTTGTCTTGGAATAGGGAAATGAATGGTGGGAGAATTAATAGCCACAAACTAACACGAAACCGGGTAAAACAAAAAAATCAAGAGGATGAACAAAGTAATTCTGGACCATTCATCTCTGTCATTCCCTGGCCTGGCACAAGGACTGATGTCAGACCTTCCACGAGTTCTGCTGGATGCCTGACACAGACGTGCAATGAGAGAAGAGCTGCAGCCGTGGGTTTACCTACCAGAATTACAAACAACGCCGGTGCCACAAAAGCCCAGATTGCTCCATTCTCTAGTGAAAGCCAGCAGCTGCAGAGAAAAATCAGAATGATTTTAGATAAAACACTTGGTCATTTAAATTAGTAATGTTCTTAATTTAAAATGAGACTAAAAGAGAGTGCAGAAAGTGTTGAATTTTAAAGGCAAGAGACATGACAGAGCATCAAAAAGAAGCCCCCTCTTCCCCTCACACTTTGGGAATCTGAGGCAGGATCTCATTTTGATTTGTATCTTGCAGAGCCAGTGACAGCATCTGCCCCAGCACGCCTTCAAATAGCATTAGGGGTGGAAACATGGGAAGAAAGGAAAGGTTTTATTTGCTCTTTGTGGTTCTTGTATCCTGTATCACAGGCACTCATTTCAGTGCTGTGAGCACTGTCATTGTAGCAAGAGACAAATTGAAGCCCTCCCTGCCTTGCCTGGCTGGGGGTGAGGGAGAGGCTGGGAAACATGCTGCCAGCTTCACATGTCCTTCTTACAGCAGTGACGATGTATGTTAGTGTACCACACACAAAAAATAACCCTTGCTCCAAATCTTTTGCTTGCATTATGAATCCTACAGTGAATCCTTTTGGTAGGACTGAATCCTACAGTGTTTTTTTGATAGATTTGCTTTTCTTTTTCTAAATTAAAAGGGAACTAAATTTTCAAAATTTTTAACAATATCCACTCCAGATCTTCAGATGTTTAACTGATGTTTTCTTCAAAAGATTAAATGTCTTTCATCAAAGTTTATTCTCATCCTGTCAGAAACGTTTCAGCCCGCACTTTACGCTGTGCATGGGGTAAGCAGGGAGCTCACTGCCTGCCTTATGCCTCTGCAGTAAAAGGGAAAACCAGGCAAAACATCTCAGGAGCTTTTTTTGTGCATCATCTCAGCAGGATGTTTAACTGATGTTTTCTTCAAAAGATTAAATGTCTTTCATCAAAGTTTATTCTCATCCTGTCAGAAACGTTTCAGCCCGCACTTTACGCTGTGCATGGGGTAAGCAGGGAGCTCACTGCCTGCCTTATGCCTCTGCAGTAAAAGGGAAAACCAGGCAAAACATCTCAGGAGCTTTTTTTGTGCATCATCTCAGCAGGACAAAAGCTCTAAGAATATGCCCGTACAACAGCCGTGCTTCTGCAGGCTACCTCCCCTACTCCCCAGCAGCAGCTTGCAGCACTACAGCCCTGTTAACAGATCTACGAGTTTTTCTCCCCATCAGGTTTTTCATCCTTCTTGCACCTGGAGTGAAGACATTTTCATACTCACTTGCCACTTTCTCCATAGCTGTCTAGGGATGATGTTGCAGAAATCACACAAATCATCAGCGGGCAGCCTGCAAAAAGGTAAAGTTAGTGGCAATATTAGTAACAAAATACGCCTTCCAGTAAACGCTGCAAGTTCAGATAAACTTCCTATGGGCAACAGAACAGCTCAGAACAATTTTAGAATCAAGTCGAACTTGCCATCCTCCTGCAGCTGTGTAATACAATGTGTTTTAATCAATTCTTGTCAGACAAACAAAGTGACTTTTCAATTAAGTACTAGTTTAACAGTTTAACGCTAACTCCATCAAGAATCCTAGTCCTTTTTCAGCCTGGTTTTTCTTTATGTAATTTCTGTCTCTTGCTTCAAGTGGTGAGGTCCTGTGGAGCAAGATCAGCCGTATTTTACCCACTTTCCCCCCAAGTAAGTGCACCTTGTTCAAGAATTCAAAACAAGCTAGAAAACAAAAGTTGAGTTCCTCACAGGGGTGCGTGACCAGCAGGCGAGAGGCAGGACTGGTGAGCAGTTATCTAGAGCATCACACACAGCAGGGAGACACAGTTAGGAACCGACAGAAGCAAATTCAGATCCCACGCAGATGCCCAACCAAGGCTTAATTTAACATAAATATGTAATAGCTCTACAAGATTTCTGTGTTTAAAGTAGACTGTGTTTCCAGATGGGTTTTGACAGTCCCAGTGGGCCACATCCCAGGAGGTGGAGGAGTGCTTTACAGGATTATAGAGAAATTCTACAAAGGAAGGCAATTATGGTCCTGCTGTCAGGGGGAGCTGTGTGTCTCTGGCCCCCAGCACTGCAATACCCTGTCGTGCCACTTCAGCACAACTTTCCAGACCAGGAGCTGGGGAGGAAGCGAGGGTTTTCTTGCCAACAGTTCTGAAGACAGTAAAACTTCATCCCTTTAAATATTAAATGATTGGCTGTTAATTCCGGTATGGTTTAATAAAATGTGGTTTGGGGGTTTTATCATCTTATGGAATTTAATAAGCAGGTCCCAGACAGAGTATTATACATGACAGCTTAAAGTTTCAATTTTCATCTAATTCTTCAGGTTTTCTGCATGAAGCTTTACAAAATTATCTGAGAAGCAATTTCTGCTTAATCTTACCACTATCATCCCCATGAAATTCTGTAAAATTTGCTTGTAATGACAGAAGTATAATTTTTGGAAGAAGTATTTTCATTTCTGTAATGATTGTGGCTGGAAGCACCTTGTATTTATAGATAAGAGAGATACTCAGTAGTTAAGAAGCAGCATCTATGGGCATTATTTGGGTCTTAGACTTTGAAATCCAACCTGCAAGATGGAGTTTAATATCCCATAAACTTGATTCTGCTCTCCCATGCTCGTCCAAATCAGGACTAACTCCTCAGAAGTAATATTTGTGTAAGACCTAAGCAAAGGCAAGAGTTTACTATCAAATTTGTCTATTTAAGAAAGGAAATTCCTACACTCATTTGAACAAGATCAAGACTTATGATATTCAACAGAGCAATTAAGCACAAACATAAGCCTATCTGCTGAAAATCAGTCTGCCATGGGTATGTGAGCTACCTGGACTAAAGGTCCCACAGGCATGTGTACACACTGCCAGTCACATCTCCAGTTGCTGAGTGGGGACTGGTGATTGGCACCATTTTCTGATGTAAGCTGTCTTCCCACAGCAGGGACTTCGTCACAGAAGCAGAAATACCTGTGCCCAACTAAGTCTCCTATATACTTCTAGTCTGCCCTTTTTTCCCCAAGTCAAATGCTGGGTATTCAAAGGATTTAGCATGACTCTTTATCAATTTTAAATGGCAGCGAAGAAGAAAATTAAATACAGAGTTCCTTTGGAAGATAATAAAACTTAGGCAGATGAAACATAGAGCAGCCATCTGCATAAAAGAGCTGTTAAGTCAGTGAGAATAAAATGGTCTGCAGCTTATAGTGCAGTGTTTGCCTGTTTTTTGCTTTAACAAGATATTAAATGGATAACGGCAGTAAAGGCAGAATCAAGATTTTGTTACAGTGAAATTGGAGTGGTTTTCCTTTAAGAAAAAAACATTCAGTAAACTCCATAAAGGTTGAAAAAAATATATCTAGCCTAAGGGGATCATAAGAGTTGATCTGGACTAAAGAATTCATACAGATTATTTATTGTACACAGAAGTAAGTGTGTTTGCTTAATCTCTTGTCAGTAATAATTACATAAGAGCTGTGAAGTTTAGTCTACGCCCATAATAGGTAATATAATGTTCTGCTGCCACGGGTTATCTTCCATTGGGTTTTTACTGAGCTAGTTGGTGCTACAGATATGCTCACCGACCGTACTCCAAACCACCCATTTATGATGCAATACACGGTGCTTTCCAGAGCGCAGTGTCAGATGAAAATGTTCTAGCACACCTTTCTGGCCGCTGATCTATGGCACTGGTGTCGTCTCTGTCTCTGCAGTCCCAGAGCAACACAACATCACATTCAAATGGGGTAAATCAGCCCACATGGAACCATGTGCTGCTGCAGCTCGAGCTGTCCAGGTCCCCAAGCCAGCTAATTTAAAGCTACCTCCCAAACTTGGTGTGAAAATACAGCCTGCTCCATAACACAATCCTTGCTCAGACAAAATTATCCCTGAATTCAGCCCAAATACAGTCACTAGGGTGAAGTCTAAAATGAATGTCAGCTTGGCTCTCTTCTTCAGCATTAAACTTCACATTTGCTCTATGTTTCTGAGGCATTAGTGATAAATAACATGGAAAATCCCTGTAAATCTGTACGCTGTAATTTGAAAGCTTCTGCATTTTCTATACATAGGAAAACCACAGACAGGCTATAGAAACTCTGTGGCAGACAACTGAAACCAATTTTAAGACATTCATTCTAAAAGGCTATATATGTCATTCATTGAGAAAGATGAAGTGCTAGACACAAATGAAAGTATATTTCCGTCCACTACGTAAAAGATCTACTTTGCTTGATGGGGAAAGTATATTGTCCCATTTATTTTGTAGAAGTTAATTTTCTACGATTTTTTTTCTGCTGCTTTACACCATATCTATGCAGAATTCTGGAGCTGCATCGAGCAACAGCAAACAAAGAAATTTAGGTCTTTTGACAGCTCAGAACAAAATCTTCATTCTACACTGGTCTCTGAAAGAAAAGAAACTGTCTGAAATAGGAAAACATGCCAAGGCCAAAGTGTCACAGCAAAATCTTCAGTATCACACACTCTATCATCACCATCCTACAAATGGGTGGGAGGGAAAAGTTTTGCTACAATAATCTCTGTGTTGTGCTGAATCACCAAGGCAACAAAGTATTCACTTTTTTCCCCAATCAATCTCAAGGTAGTTTTAAAGGTAGGATATTATCACCTTCCTCCAATTGCTCTTCTTTTGAATTCCCAACCACCGCAGTCTTTGAGGTACTTTAGCGCACTTGGGACTAAAGATAATGCACAGGAACTTCAATCAACTCTGCACATTTGGTATCCTGTCTCTCTGACTACTGCTGAATTCGTTTTACAGGAATAATCCCTCTCAGAAGTTTCGACAGATGCTCAGAGATCAGTGATACTCAGTGTAGAATTCCTTGTCCCTCCCTCTGTTGCCCCAAGGTTCAATTAGTCATTAATATAGACTTTGCGAAGTTTTACATTCACCTAGCCCTGCGTTTCTGCTTAAATAAGAACAATGGGTCTGGGTTTTTAAATTCACGACTGGGGTTTGTCATTATTCCAGGAACTGTGAGTTTGGAAAAACTCAACGGCATTCAAACTTCAATTAAAAGGAAAGAACGAAGAAGTGAACTAACTGTTTTGACATTACATGAGATATCCTTGTCTTCAACTTCTTTCAACCATCTTTGGTCAGTACAATAATTAGTTAAGCTGAAGCATAAAAAAATAGCCATTTTTATTAGATACTGGAAAAGGTATCTCTATTATGATCTCAGGATGGCACAAGAATGCTTGACTTTCTTTTGACAGTTGCATTCAATGCAAACCGACCCTCATTTTAACAGCCAAACAAAATAATTCTAGGATTAATCCTTTTTAACATCTTGTCCCAGCCTGTCAAGACTGCTATTTAGATGTGGGAATTTTATGGAATATATGTAACTTCTCACTATTGTAGTTTCATCAAGTTCATGAAGGAACAACCCACACTCTACCCCACAGAACATGAGCACACACTGCTACTGACACTTGAGCTTTTAATTCAACATTTCTATTCATATTCAGTGCCAATATGCTAACAAAAGAGAAAGTTGGGAACTGACAAACCTGGATGCCCTTTTAAGCATTTCAGTATCGAACACTGCAATGTGGGTTTTCTCTCTAAACCCATCATTATTCAGCAACAGCTATTACCAACTGAATGAGCATTGGAGTTACATACCAGACAGCGAGCTGTGACACTGCTGATCAAATGAAGGTTGTCCTGATACTTATCAAGAGATAAAACATTTGGAATGCAGTTGCTGAGTTAAATGACTTCAGGGATGTTTAGACACACTTTCAGCAATGACATGATGTCAGATATGATTAAGGAAGTTCAACATTTAATTCAAAAGTAAATACTTTGAGCTATTAAAAAAAAAAAGAAGCAGCAATACAAACTACTTGCCCAGTAAAATGGTAGATTTACTGGATTTCAGAAAACATTTTTTTTTCCAAATCATTGCAGTAATAACAATTGGAATATTCTTGACATAATTAAAATATTTGTCAGAAAAGACCTTCCGAAAGGTTTACACAGAGAAATTGTTACTGTTCTATGGCTGATGTCCTCTACTATCTACCTCCAAATGGTACCTTTGCTACGTTTAAGAACCAGAGCTTCCCACCCGGTTTCTTATACAATCCTTGACAGGAAAACATTGCTAGAAGAACCGATAAAGAAACATCTACTGCTGGTGCCACCTGTATTTTGCTACGTACATCTACTTTGATGACAAACACCTGCTTTGGACCTAAGTGATTTACTCTCGAAAGTATTACTCAAAATATCACTGAAGAGAACCCACTGGGTTATGTACCAATAAGCTATATACTTATTGTGCTAATTACTACTAATTGAGTGGTAGCGATCCTACTGCAATAAAATGAAGCAAAATGCAACCTTCAATACTAGTCACATCACAGATGTTATGTTTATCCTTGTGTCTTCCAAATCACTTTGTAGATGACTGTTATTGTACAATAAACAAACCTTACACAAAATGCCAGAAGAAAAGGGCAAAGGTGCATTCTAGCATATATAAATCATTAATTTATTTTCATAAGGTAATTAATGATTGAGTTAAATTGAGTTAATCAAAACATCTGTTATAAGCAAATATCCCAGTGAATTAAATACCAGCTCTTATTATGCAATTTCTTACCCAACAGACCTACTCTCAGTAAGGCAAACTGATCACAAGATGACAGTTTTACATACACTTCTGAATATAATCTTGTCCAACAATAAGGAGACTTAAAGCAAGCAGCTACTAAATGCTTACCCCATCCAATTCCATAATAATATAAGTGCTTGCTCTCTTCTGACCCAAATACTTTGATCACCATACTGTAAAGATGAAATCCTTCCACCAGCATCCAGGCAAATGCACTCAGGAAGAAAAAATGGAGGAGAATGGCCAAGATCTTGCAAGGCACCTAAAATAAGAAAAAAAAAAAAATATATTACTTCTTTGTGATGCAGTCATATTGGTTTTCCTTTTTTGTTCTGTTTGAATTGGTAGAAAGTCTGTGGTCGGTTAAGCTTGAGCTAAACAAATTCTAAAATAAAGTGCCATGTTGAATCTGGTCTTTAGTTACACTTTGCCATGTGGCCTCCTACTTTGCTGTTCTTCATATTAAAAACAGGATAACACACAAATCAAATCACACTATATTCCAGTGTCTGTCTGTACTGGCTAGAAATTCTGTAGAAGTCACATATGTTCCTCCATCAGCAATACTAATATAGACATTTCAAAAGATTATTGCAAGCTATCACTGGCTCTTGAGTCCTAATTGCCATATGGTGGGCATGTAGTTTGCTCGCCTGTTTGAATTCTCAGTCTCCCGCAGTCTGAAGTATGTTCCAGCTGTACATGAAATCATATTTGACAGGAACACATCTAGTGTTTAAGGAAAAGAACTGAAAGTCCTCTCTGTAGGGTGTTTACTGACAGTTCGACTCCTCCTTGATACTCCTTTATACAAGACATGCTATCAAGATTCTGGAAAAAGGAGCTAAAATGCAAGTTCATCAAGCAACAGAAAAATACCATCTAGAAAGTGATCCCACCTGGTGTAAACCAGACTATTTGTTTCAATTTAGACTGTAATATGCTTGGAAGTGAAATAAATGCTGCCCCAAAAGAGAGCGGAGTGCCACAACAAAGGCGATGCAGCCAGAAGTAGAAACATCCTCAAGTCCTCTTTACACCCACCCAGTGCTCGTGGCCCACCGTGGGCGATAGGAAATGCAGCCTGGGCTTAAGACCTGGCTTTTCCTTATGAGCAGCAGCCTCCTTAGAGCAGCTCTCACTAGGTGCTTCTCAAAAAAACCTTGATATTTTTCTCTGAAGTCTCCTACCAGCCTACCTTATGAAAAGAGAAAAACCTAATCCTTTCTTCTTCCCCACTCCGCACGTATTCGCACAGCACATTCTCCCTTCCCCACTAATTGCTTTTCGAGGATGTCTCACCACAAGTGGTTTCGCTCATCATACAGTAATTGAACAGATGTGACTGCCAACGATCTTACCACAAGATAACCTTGTTTGGTTTGCCTTCAGTGAAGGCACATTTTAAACGCGCTCTGGGAACGAGTCCCAGCTCCATCAGAGTTCTGCGTCTCGTAGCATATTGATGACGGTCACTCTGCTCTGCAGTCCTAACATCCCTTTTGTGACACCTACAGAATGTCGCAGGGGTTGCTTGCGTGCAGTCCATGTAAACGGCAAGACTTTTTCCTTCGGGCTTTCCCGTCCCCACCTGGACAAGGCAAAGGAGGGTGCCCAGGGAGGTGGAGCCTGTGAGCTGAGAAGGAAGGGAACCCGTTTGCCGTCACAGGGGTCTGAAGACATTAATCATTAATTCCCTTTGTTGCATTAGCTTAGCTGCCCTGTGCTGGCAGTTCATTCTTTTTGTTGGTGGTTCGGGATTTTGCACAGTAATGAAAATTAAAAAGTTGGGCTTGATAGTGTAATAAAAAATCGAAGATTTCCTGTACCTTCTCACATGCACTTGGCTGGTTCTGTGCTGGTGCAAATCCTCTGTGACTGCACGTATTATAAAGCAGTAACTTCCATTTTAATTCATGTAAGTGAGATCTGTAAGTCTTGTAGTATTTTGCAATGTTCGGTGACATATAATTAAACCAGATTTTCTTATTGACAAAAACTGTAAAAACCTTTCCAGCTAATTTTATCATAAGGCTCTGAAATCCATTTTAATGCCTTTTGATTTCTACTAGAAGATTAGTCCATGAAAACATAAATGCAACATAAAGCTGACTTACAAGCTAGTTCTGCCAAATGGATACTTTCCAATTTCTGAGTAGCCAAACAATATAAATCACAGAACAGCAGAAAAATAAAACACAGTGAAGAAGCAGGAGGCTGGTCTGCGTATAATTTCATGTAATACAAAGTTGCAGATTTTTACATAAGATCCATAACAAAATTGCTACTCATCCTGTATTTGTGCATTAAGTATTACTTTGGAGGTACTTTTGCCTTATTGAAGAAGTGAAACTTTTAATTATAAACAAGCAGGTGTCCCTTGCTGTCTCATGATGCCCACTACTTCTGGTAGTAAAAGGAGAGACCTCATCACTGTTACTCTTACAGTTGACTGCTTGTGAGTCCATGGAAACAGAAAAATCAGTCCAGCCAGCAGCAAGGCCCCTCATATCACATTTGTTGAGAAAGTAAAGCAGACTCTCAGAAAGGCCTCTCAGAAAATCAGTCATTTGTTTACTGAGGACAGTCTTAAAACAGATGTAATATACATTTTCTAAATTCAACTTACAGTGGTGTTTTCCATTTAAGTGGCAATCTTACTGCATTATACCGAACCCTCTGAAAACGTCCTTCCTCTCAATCTATATGTTGCTTTGATATACAGTCTTGAATTTCTGCAGATACATATATCATAAACAAAAGTAGCTCATTTCATCTCTCTATTTGGAAGTGTTTTAAGCATTACCATGCAGGAGTACTGAGTGAGAAACAGCTCAATACACTCACACAGAACTGCAAATAGTAGAGACATTAAATTTTCCAGTTGTGCTGGAAAAACACAGTGCTGCCTAACACACTGTACTTCAATTTTCATTTTCCTATGTCTAAATAACACTTCACTTTCTCCCACAAGCATGCTCAGGTCTTTGGAAGGCTTTAGTAGCCTAAAGAAATGTTGATGGTTAATTATTGTTAAATGCACACTGTTTGTGATTCTGTTAAAAAAAATAGTGCACTCTATAGCAGAGAGTAAGTAACTAAGAGAAAACCCCTCTGAAGAAACAAATCCATCTGTTGCAGAAAGTCTAAGGGCAGTCATGAGAGTGGCATGCGGATAGCACAGATGTCTTAGGGACTTGGCAGTATAGGAAGAAAATGCTGTATGTGAAGCTATTTGCAACAGTTGCTATACCTTTCTCACTGTTTGTTACTCAGGTCAAATAAACATGGATGGTACTTAAAAAACATCTAAATTTCCAGAGTAGAGGTCATGATCAATAAATCTGCTGTTCAGAAAAACAGAGTATTCTGCCACACAAATAAAACTTTTGCTCATAAAGACCAAAGACCACCTGTTTTGCTCTCCAGGTAAGAAGAAGAAATTGCCACAGATCCATCAGAAATCTCATCACCTTCCAACAAGAAGGTAATTACCTTCCAAAAAGAAGACTTGTTAATGTGGGGGGGGTGTGGAGGTGGGGGAGGAAAGGTAAACTGTACCACAGCAGAGAATAGATGATTAAAAACCCAAAAAACACAACCCAAAACTCTTAACTAGAATCCGAATACCTTGCCTAAATGCAAAATTCATACAATTTTCTCCAGTGCAGAATTCCTACAGTTTTCAATACAGAGAATGGATGAGAGAAAGCATAAGCCATGATGGGCAGAAGTCAGCCGTGCCATTTGACCACACAACTGAAATCTACTCCATGACTATGGTGATTTTTCCATTTGATGGGCGCATCTCTCTCGGTTTTGCAGATATCCAGACACGGCCAGACACAACACTATTTGGATGCACGGAAGGCTTTATGCAGTGTTGTGTGATGCCATTTTTGGCTAAAGCATATTAAGAATAGGAGATCTCACGTGCAAGACGCTTCCTCTGCACAAATCGCTCTTTCAAGCACTTACCGTTCCAGGGCTGAACTGAAAGCTGGTGAGAAGCAGGATCTGAGCCACCAAGACAGCAAAGGACAGATTGGCATGGATATGATAGCGCTGGTTGCGGATGGTGCTGACAGACCTGCAGCAGATAGAAAGACACATGAATAAAAGAGGATTCCAAGAAGCACGAACATATTTATGATTTATCAGCAAGCATTTTGCTTGGCTTTTGATCACTCCTTTTGGTGGTGTTATCATGACGTCTTTTGGTACCTAACTGGTTTCTTGCATATTCTGCTGCCATCCTGAAGGCAGCAGAAAAACTGATTTGCACATTAACTGCTAATGACTTGCAATAGAATATTAACAAAGGGATTGATGCTGAATGGTGCTGAGCTGTCAAGGAAGTCAGAGCTGCACCTCACAGAACGCGTAGTGCACCTTGCACCACCTAGCCCACGCTGCCACAGAGTTTCTGGTTTTATTTTGTTGCTATTTTCCTGTAGAAGTAGTGAACATGAAAACACTCTGGCTACAACTTTGACTTTACTATTATCAGCTGCTGAGCACAGGATCTATAGCGACTTGCACGGGTGGGCAGTGCCTATCTTTACAGAGACCTGACCGTGATTACAACATCATTTGAACCTATTTCTCTTGGCTTTGCAAAACCCAGCTGGAGACCTGACAAGAACGTGCTTTCCTGGGCATCTTCTGACCTTGTGTTTCTGTTCTCATCCAGAAACAGGAAGTAGAAAACAGACAAAAGCATTTATCTGAACGTTTCAGGCCTTTTGCATAATTTTATCCTTCTCTTTAGAAAAAGAACAGTGCTAGTGATACCAGGTTTTCTATTGCAGTCCACACTGCCTGCCAGCCCCTACCGTCAGCTCTGATCTTGTCAGGAGACCCGGACCCCTTGGCTACGTGAATGGCAGTGCTTCCTCCACACAACACTACGCACTCCCATCATTTTGTGGTGTCATGCTGGATGGGGATGGCTTTTGCACCCGCTGGTGACACACTGTGCGTGCGTCCCGCAGCAGGGTGACACAGACTGGACACCGCAGATGGTGGCTTGCTGTCAGCCCTGCTCTGCCAGCATTGTGATAGCCAGTGCTCTGTTAGAAGGGAGTGAGGAGGGAGACAACAAGAAGTATTGGTGTCTTAAAAATAATTCAAAGAGACAGGTTGTGCTGCCTGGTGCCAATGGCTTTCTAATAAGGAGCTTCATGTGGATGCAAACTGGAACATCGTTACCCAGAAGGCAACCAGGACTGCCCTCCTGGCAGTACGCAGAGTAGCAAAGAACTTGCCAGATTCCTCTACACTTAACTCACGGTCATCTAACACTACATTGCAAAATTTCACTTCAGCTGTTTAATGAGGCCCTGCTCTCCAGTGAAAACCTAATCACATTATTCTTAATTGGCAGTTTGAATAATCCTGTATGTAGGTGGGGTGCTTAACACTGGGACAGTCAGCCGGGTCCAAGCTCTCTTTCCAAGTTTGCCTTCGGTTTCTTGAGGAGTTTTCAGCCCAGCTGCAGCAATAACACCTCCTTTTCTTCCCTTTGCCTTTCCAAACACTATAACACCCAGGTTTGCACTCAAAAATGGAGCAGACCATTCCTCTTAGCCCAAACATGCCAACAGCGCAATGCCAGAGAGGCAGACGTTGGACCTATTTAAAGTGTATTTTTCCAAGTATGACCAACACAGCTCTTGACACTTGGAAATAATATGGGATTTGGAACAAACAAACATTGTAATCAGCATACTGCGTTTCAGCAAGTCCTTTTTCCTAGAAACTGGTGTCTTAACAGGATGTCCAAAAGACATGCTTAGTCACAGAAATAAAATCTTGAACTCCTGAGTAGAAGAACGTGATTTAGTGTGTGAAAGGAGACAAGAATCCCATTCCTTGCTGTGCTCCCAATCTGCTGTGCAACCTCGGACAAGTAACTTCACCCTTTGTCAGGTTTTCTATCTTTTATTTAGACAGAAGCCTCTGTGAAAGCTTTTTCAGAAGTGTTGGTATCAAGCCTAGCTGGGCCCCAAACTCAGTTGTAACTATTGGAATATAAAGAGGCATAAAGACCCAAGTGCCCCACGGCAGAAACCTTCCCAGCGCAGAGCCCTCGAAGGGGCTGCCGTGTTACAAGCAGGAGGCTACAAAGATCCGAAGAATTTAAACGTAAGCCATGGAGTGAATTTCACACTGCCTACAGCATGCTTCATCCTACTAAAGCAACATTAGAAAGCTAGCCTAACAGAGATCAGCAAGATACTTGAAAATAAAAGTGGGTTATGTGATGTAATTGTGTACGAGCTGTATGAAACAGAAGTGAGGCAGCTAATGTTGACCAAGCCTTTCTTTCTGGACATACTTTTATAAACACAGTGCCTTACAGACAAGGCAGTTGAAAAGCAGAAATAAATAGTGATCATACACTTCAAGAAATCCAAAGATGTGTCTGGGGGAGAGAGAGAGGGGGTGATCCTGCAGTTCCTGCTCATATTATACTTCAGCTCCAGACCAAGCCCTCCTACAGCCTCCCTGCAAGATTCCTGAACTACAGGAAAACATGGAGAGTTTTTTAAAAAAAAAAAAATCAAAAAATCCCTCATAGGATGGAAATAGCTTGCTATTTAAAGACCACCCCATTTCAGGAAATGAAAGTAATTTAGAAATAAGCAACCAACTGTTACAAATACATGTGCAGAATCTAATTAAGGAAAGTTGTAGAATTAATAGCCTTTGTTTTATCCTGAGCACCCAAAGGGATCCTAAGCAGTGGCCCGGAATGCACTGCTTGCCTTTCTGCACAATAGGTGCTAAGCAGGTATTAAATAAAATTACTCACGACAATATAGCGAATGTGACCAGCGTGATCGTCAAGCAGAAGATGGACAGAGCACAGCCAATGTAAGTGATGGAGGAGAGGGCCACCTGGTGTTCTCTTGTTAGCTGTACACAAAGATAAAAACAAAATTAAAACTATTAATTGATGTTTTACACTACAGAACCACAGGTCAGCCCCCCTGCACACAGTGTTTGCTCCTCCATCTCCCCATGTACAAGCTGATGTTCGTAAGCATTCGCTGCTGTTTCTAGCACGGGAAGTGGAGAGCCAACGCCAAACTCAGTCCCACGGCCGGGGCATCCACATGCCCATGGCATTTTGATTCCCTCTTTTATTTCATAAGTCAGTACTTCCTCAGAATAAGTTTGTTTCTTTGCTGCTGCAATACCGTCAAGCCTGAGATCGGAGCGGTTTATTGGGCTGCACAAACAACGTCGGCAGCGGGATCTTTCACAGCTCGCAGGGCGCTTTGCTCATGCTCTCATGCTGCAATAATTTACATCACTGTGCAAATACCAGAAGTGCTTCACAGCAGTGAGAACTGACAAACCAAGCTAGCCCATAAATCACAGGCCATTTATAGCCCACTTGTTTTGTTTAGTGTATCATGGTTTCAGTGCCTGCTGAAGGACCTGGACTGACATCAACAGAAGAGAAAACCACAGAGAAGGCCCAGTGTGAGCAGACCGAGTGTCAGCCTCTCGCCTCAGCCCCTCGTCTCGCCTACAGGCACCTTTTGTAGAAATAATTCAGTTTTCATAAACATTTAATCTGTAACTCCACAGTGCCCACCACTAGGATCTGTGTTAAAACCTGCATAGATTCAACAGGGGAGGGACAGTGTGTTCTGACCATTCATCCTAAATTAATCAAAGTGTGCTTTAACTGTCCACGCAAGTTCTTATAAAAGAATGATGAAAAACCCACACCCAACAGAGGGAGCCAGGCAGTACTAGTATATAATAAGTAGAACAGAACTAGGTAGGAGAAAGTTTTCTCATCTCAGAAGAATTTTCAAACGTTTCTCCTAACTTCAATTTGGATAGAATTGACATTTCCATAAAATGAACATTTGAATTAAAAAAAATGTGCTGAACCAAAAAGTTTTCATTTTTATGTTTGAAATACTATGTAATTATTTCAATTTCTACTCATTATAAATTCCTAGTTGAAAACTCATTCAATGTATTTATTTATTCTGAAAAATACGGAAAGAAACAGTATCTTTTCCAAATTTTTAAAGTAACTCTAATAAAAAAGAATCCTTTCTCACAGTTTGAGATTTTCTATGATTTTCCCATACATAATAAAAATTCCCCTCCAAACAAAGTATTTCAGAGATCAAACCCAACAAGTTCTACCAATAAACTTCCCATTAAAATTCCTTTTGAAGGATAGAAATAACATGCCATGTAGTCATGAGGAAAAAAAAAATCTTTTTAAATACAGACAAAACCAACGTGTTGTATCTGTACGCTTTTCTTCTAATTGTCTGCCAGCAGCATCAGCTCACATGCAGTAAGTTTTACAGCAGGACAGACTGTGGCTCACCCAACAATCTGAGAACTACTAAGTGATGCAGCAGCAGCACTGAAAGACAACTGTTGCTATGGTGTTACTGCTCCTAGGTAATATGATGCAGCTCTTCAGTACTTTTCCTCTTTCAGCCAAAGACACATTTCCATGACATGGATAGCATCAATTACAGAAACAAAAGGGTCCTGGGTGCTGTACCAGCTCAAAAAGTCCACATAGTTCCTACAAAAGAGCTCCTATCATCCCTTTCCCCAGAGAAGTCATGTATAGCCATGCTTCACAGTTTATTCCTGAAATAGAAACAACTTGCCTGGTAAATTAGGCAGTTTAGAAGTGATTTCCTCATCAGGGATATTCATGTCCAAAATGCATGGACCGTATTTCCCAATTGCTCCAGCACAAATCCCTGTCTTGCTAGAGGTGGCTTGCAGTTCTGCAGAGGGAGGAGGGGAGCAGAGAAAGGTTTTCCAGCTTCAAGTCACTCTGAAATCAGTATGTCTCAGCAGTTCAAGGCTTTCTTTCACTCCTTTCACTCCCAACACCTGCAGCCAGAAAACTTTCC